AGGTGGTCGATGGATGGATGGAAAATTCTAAAACGTGTTACAGAAATTTATAGTTATTTAGAGATTAGTACTGGTGCTAGAAAACTACACCAGAGTATAGGGTTTCCTTATTTTATAATACTCATATAATGTTTGATCTATTATGTGTTAATTGAAATAAAATAGCTACATGTCCGGATTATGAACAACACATAATTAAAAGCTGTGTTAACATTAGGGTGAGGTCTTTGTCTGAATGCCGGTGATTCAGCCGTAGGTCAGCAGGTGGCGAACTCAGGCATTGAAGAATCTGTATATACTGTATACTGATCCATTCCCTGGTTATAACCAGTGTGGTTTGGCTTGTCAGCTGGTGACAAATAAACCTCACTCACAGCCAGAATTCTGGGGTTGTATGGTTTATTCCTTCCTCAATTCATTTTATTTAACACTGGTGTTTTAATATTGACCTCAGCCATATTGAACACTAATTTTCTTACAGTTTTACAGAAATTTTCAAATATTCTGTAACTTGAATGTAATGACATCCAGTTTCACATTAAGGTGAAATCTCACCTGACTGTGACTCCTGAAGACTAGATTGAACTCTGACTCTTAGTTTTTTGTTGCGATCTCAGTGAAAACTTATATTCTGTAAGCTTATGCCATAGCAGTGAGCAGTGTGTGATTTGCATGTCCAGTTTTTGAACGTTACAACTTCTTCTCATGTCTATGACTTGTAAAACTGTATTCCAGGCTGAAGCTAATTTYACATGATTMGGTTATAAGGTTGAATTATTATAGAAGTTGGAAGTGTTTGTAGAAGTGTTTTGCAGAGTCKCTGCTTACATCCTGCCTGGACCGACTGGGCTGTTATGTTTGGGTTTTCAGATACARCCCAAGGCCTTACGCTGAGGCCTGACTGCTGTAATGCTGTRTGAACCTGAAGAATGGAGAAGAAATCCTGATTCCTGCTTTTATTCAGACATGCCCTTTTTGAACAGTGCATTTATTTCTACAAGACCATTCACATTTATTTAGTTTT